CAACGTAAAGTCGGAATCAAAGATATCACGAAGCTTTGAACCAATTATTCCATGTGACAATATCGGTAAGAACACACACATGAGTACCACGTGTTCTCAAGTTCCTCATGACTCACTTAGCGCTATTATGGTCTTGCGATAATCCTTTTCAACAATCTTTTAAGAAAGATGAGGTGGCACCACCTAAAATTTCTTTTAGGTGAAATTCTTTCAATATTTTTGTTACTTTTAGAGGTATTTATGTTTTAGCACTGAATTTCATTAAAAGTTTAAAGCTCAACCCTCATTTTAGTAACATCCAACTTTATTTTAACTAGGATAGGGTCATCATGGATTTAAATAATGCTGCAACTATTTACATATCGAATAACTTGTTGTTATCCTTTGAACCCATTGATTACTTTTTGAGTAATGACAGGTAGGGTTTCCATCATTGGTAGACCTTTTTAATTAAGGAGTTCTAACACCATCTTACTCAAAGTAGACACCACTAAATCTCTATCTAGAGGTTTAGTAAAAGGATCTACTAAATTTTAATTGACTTACATAATTTAGGGAAATTATTTCATCCTTGATTAATTTCCTTATGTGACTATGTGTAAGACTCATATGTCTAGACTTTCCAATGTCTACCTCATTTTACGCTTTTACTAATGTGACTTGACTATCACACATGATAGGTATTGAAGACATATTCTTCAATCCCAAATGGAGCTTATAGAAGAGATCTTTAAGTCACTCGGCCTCTTTCCAGGTTTCCAATAGTGCAAATTTAGATTCCATGGTCGAGTGTGCATGCTTGTTTTTTTTTTTTTTTACTTCAAAGAAACAACACCTTCTCTTAAAGTGAACAAGCAACCCGAGGTGAGTTTACTTTCACACATACTAGATATCCAACTAGTATTGGTAAATCTTTCCAATACCGTCAGGAATTTAGTATATTGCAGCTTAAGTTCTTGGTTTTCTTTAAGTATCCATGAACTCTCTCAATGGCCTTCCAATGATCATTACTTGGATTTCTAATAAACCTACTATACTAGTCTTTGTGACTTTTATATCTAAAATAGTATCCACCTGTCCAAGATCCTTCATCTTGAATTTAGAAGATAGAAAAATGTTCATTTCTTCTATAACGTTCATGTGATTACTTATAATCAACATGTCATCAACATA